ACTGCAGCAGTTCGGCCAGTTCTACTATATGGAGCAGAAACTTGACCATTAAGATAGACTGTCAGTGTTTGAACACCGCTGTCTACGCAGCACTGCATGAATCTGGTGGGGCAGCCGGACGAGGAATGCTGAGGTCAGGCGAGAAGTTTTAGGCAATCGCGGTCGCTCACTTGAGCAAGTGGTCGCCCTCCATAGATCACGTTGGTTTGGGCATGTGTTACGCATGTCACCAGATAGGTTGCCACGGCGAGCGATGTTTGCCCGTCCCGCTTGAATTTTACCACTAACCCTGTATACATTGCGAGTTTGGCAGCGTTCACTGCATTTTGCTGTAAGATGATAATGATGATCGGTACAAGAAAAGTTTTGTGTTACAAAAACAAGCGGAATCTATTTCGACCGGTGGTTCTTAGTCGATGTAATATCTTATCCGTAGGTACATTAGAGAATAAATCCAAATTCATATGTTTCCAGTGAAAAGATGGCCCCATTGACTTGTGTTTCCATGGGAAGAACCATTCATCAGGGTCATATTCAATTGGTGACGTCGAACTTGTAGTTCGCATTCCACTCTGGCTAAATTAAGATACGTGCTCCCCATCTGAACGGTATTTATTTTACCCATAGATTTCAAATTGCACATATTGACTTTACACACACACACACACACCTATTTATCCCTTTTACTTGCGCGTGTAGGTTGTACGATCAAGCATGTTTCTCATGACTGAGCCATGTTGCCACTGTAATGGTTGGACGATACAGCAGAAAAAGGATTGATTCATAGATTATACACTTGGCATTCATAAATAAGTTGCATAAACAATGAGGTAGGTAGATCCACAACATACAGGGTGACAGCATAACATGTGACGAGTATTTGTGACAGTCCAGCTATGGTGAGTCTCAGCGGTAAGGCTCATCAGGTGGAGCATTACATCCGGCTTGTGTCGCACAGCGGTTCGGACTGGCGCCGCACACTGTGTGTGAGTCCGTCAGCGGGCCCGGACTCGGTCGAACTTTGGTCTTTTTTGGATGACGTGAGCGGCTTTTTGTTTTGCATAGGGGACAGATTGGTGCATTTCGGTGGATCAGTTGTTGACAAGATTGACAGGTTTTCATCGGTGGAGCCTGAGCTAGACCCTGTCCGTCTGTGGCTAGGAAACTTGGCAAACCGG